TCTCTGTCAGCCCCTCCAGCCCACTACACCCCCTCCCTATCTCTGTCAGCCCCTCCAGCACTGGGGGCCGTGCCTTCAGCTGCCTGGAACCCTGAGGTTGGGAATTCCCTTCCTAACCCTGTCGGTCTCTCTCTGTCTCCTTTTCTCTCTTGCCTTTTAAGACACTTCTTAATCTGTTGTCTTTGAATGAGCTGTTGTTTCCATCAAGTCACTGTGTGACTTGGTGTCAATTTTCTTTAATCTGATTTATATGCCAGTGATGCACCTCAGGCTGTTGCACTGAGCGAGTGGGTATAAATGCGAGTTGTTGGGAAGGACAACCTCTAAGTGTGCTTTGTGTTAGAATAATGTCTCGGGGGCCATATACTGTTCTTGAACTGTGCAGAAATGTGACTGTTGAATCTCCAACTCATTGTGTTGACCATGTAGCACCCCTGTGTGTGTGTGTGAGAGAGAGAGAGAGAAAGGGATTGTGTGTGTGTGTGTGTGTGCGCGCGCAAACTAGGCCGTTGAATGTTGATGTGAGTGTTGTAACACTGATTCAAGTGACTATTTTACTCAGGATATTCCGTTGAAAGATTAACTCACTGAAGTGAGACATTTCCGATGACTGGAAAGGATGGAGAAAAGTCTATTATGTCATCTTGTAATAGTCAGATTGATATCAACATTTATGGTTTCTAAATAAAAACAAGTTAAACAAACGAAACATCATGTGGTACAGGGAGAGGCCGTTAGGCCCATCAAGAAAATGGCAGCTCCTTTTCAAGCATTTACCCAATTTTGAATGTTCCAGTTGAATCTGCTCCACCCTGCCCTTTCAGGCTGTGCGTCCCAGATCGCAACAACTCACTGCCTCAAATAAAACATTCTCCTTCTCTTCCCCTCTTGGATTCTCTTCAATCTCTCACCTTCTGGTGACCGACCCTCCCTGCCATGCTGCGCATATTGACTCGATGGAACAAACCACCCCCAGAAATTTGTGAGGGAGAGAGATCTGGTTGTGGCAGGGACAGCCATGTTTCTGATTAAAGTCATCCAGGCCCAATGGATAGCCTCAGTGGTTAGCACTGCTGCCTCACAGTGCCAGGGACCCGGGTTCAACTCCATCCTCTGTCTGTGTGGAGTTTGCACATTCTCTGAGTGGGTTTCCTCCCACAGTCCAAAGATGTGCAGGTTAGGGTGGATCGGCCATGCTACATTGCCCCATAATGTCCAGGAAAATGTCGGCTAGGTGGATTAGCCATGGGAAATGCAGGGTTACAGGGATAAGGTATTGGGGTGGGTCTGGGATGCTCTTCAGCGATTGGTGTGGACCCGATGGGCCGAATGGCCTGCTTCCACACTGCAGGGTTTCAGGGAGCACACGTTGGTCAATGGGGAAGAAACTGAAAGGAAAACAGTTTTGAGACACACAAACCTGGCCAACACCAAGAAGGGAGGACCAATGACAGTGGGGTAGATGTTTGGAGTAGGGAGATCAGGATCCATCAGCAGATTGTGGCAAGGTTGTAAGAAATGAACCATGAACAGCTGGAAACATCTGATGCAGAGAGAGAGAGAGAAAGGGCATGTAGTGAGGCGAGTGACAAAATGGGACAGCCAGGAAGAGGAAAACAAGGAAGGACTCAGAATAGATGCAAGGAAGCAGCGGGAAGTGAATGAGATGCAGTGGGATTGGAAAAGCAATGGGTGACTGATGGCAGGAGATGGTTGGTCAAGCAAGCATTGTGGTGACTCCAGATAAAATGGGAGAAACTGAAAGAAGAGAAAATTGAGAGATAAGTCAGTAATGTACCCTGCATGTGCTAAACCAAAATCCATCCTTTGTTTATCTCAGTTTACACTTGTACTGCATCCTTTTGCATCCGAGGGCATTTTGCAGTAAGAAAGAACTTGGATTTGTATAAACCTGGGAATTTGCCTTGCACCCAGATCTGCATTTCTACAGAGTTTCATTTTGATATTGCCTACAATAGAATTCACACACAGCAAGCTCCAATAGAGATAACAAGCCAGCTCTTCAATTTTCCTTTGGTATCACCACAGTGTCGCTGGTGAGATCAGCGTTTGTTCCCCATCCCTAATTACCCTGTTGAGTGTCTCTCTCTCTGGCCATTTCAGAGGGCAGTTAAGAGTCAACCACATCATCATGGGTCTGGAGTCACATGTCGACATGTAAAGATGGCAGATTTCCCTTCCCTAAAGTGCATTAGTGACTCAGATAGAGTCCTACAGCCCAGAAACAGACCCTTCAGTCCAACTTGTCCATGACAACCAGGCATCCTAAATTTGCCTGCATTATTTTTATTCATTCACAGGAACATCGCTGGTTGGCCAGAGTTATATATAGTCTATATTGTCAGGGGACAGAGCAAACATTGTCAGCAGTGGATTTTTTTTTTTGAAATTCATTTAGAGGTTGAGGGCATCACTGGCTAGTCCAGCATTTATTGCTCACCTCTAATTGGCCAGTTGAGAGTCAACCACCATTGCTGTGGGTCTGGAGTCACATGTAGGCCCAGACCAGGTAAGGATGGCAGTTTCCTTCCCTAACGGGCATTAGTGAAGCAGATGGGCTTCTCCCCCCCCCCATCAACAATTGGAAATGGGTTCATCAATAGACTCTTAATTGTGGATTTTTGTTGAATTCAAATTCCACCATCGGCCTGGTGGCATTCGAACCCAGACTCCCAGAGCATTACCTGGGTCCCTGGCTTAACAGCCCAGCGATAACACCACTAGGCCATCATCTTTATAGTGTATTTGACACAAATGCTGCTAAACCTCTCCTATTAATGTCCAAATGTCTGATTTCACAGTCACCAGCTACCAGTTCCAGATCTATTGTTAATGGAACTTTAATTTCCACCAGGAGCAGTGCCTGGATTTGGACCTGTGTCCCTAGATTAGCCTAAGGGGGGTGAGGGGGGGTGCTTTTGCATTGCTAGCCCAGTGCCATGGGCACCATGTCACTGTCTCCTTTGTAGTGATGTGGGTTAAGGGACAAATATTGGACCCAGGGGGAAATGAGGAGATCACTTCTCCACCCCTCAACCCTTCTTCCACCACCACCCCCCCACAACTTCTCTTTCAGTTTTCACCCAAAAAGCACGCAGCTGAGAGGTGGGGTGGTGGGCTGTGCCCTTCGCTTAACAGAAAGGTCAAGAGGGTGAAGTGGATTGAAAGCGGGAAGTAGGAGGCAGGAAGATGGTGGGGGCGGGGAGGGGGTGTGTTAAGACAGAACGGAAGCTTCCTTGGAGCGCTTAGAAGGCACCGATTCTGTGAAATTCACTTGTGGGGAGTGGGGGGGAGGTGGGGGGAGCCAGTCCGCAATATTGCGTTTGGCCGAAGCAGAAGGCTCAAGGTGGAGGTGAGGTGGCTGCCGCACTCCAATTGAGTTGCAGAATTGGGTTGTCGGTCGGTATAAATAGTCAGAGAGTCAACCGCCCCGAGGTTCGGAGGCTCCTTCCTGTCACAGCTGCTTCCAGTTGTTAGAGAGGCTCCGATCCTGAGGCACGGGCAGGATGTTGTGGCAAGCCTAGGTGCCCATTCGTGGACGGAAGGCGACGGGGGACGTTCCTTTTCGTCTGTGTGAGTTTGGGGAGGGTGCGGTATGCAAGAGAACAGTGGACAGTCCCTTTCTCCCTCACCACCCTCTTCCCTGCACCACCCCCCCCAACCTCCTACTTAATACCATCCCTCGCACTCTCCCCCATGGCACCCCTCTCCTTTGGCTCCTCCGTCTCAGCAGACCCCCCACCCCCGTCCGCATGGCCTGCTCTTGGCCCTGGCAGCAGTTGACTCTTATACCATGGGGTGGGGTCATGTTAGCGACGAGACCAATGTTCGCAAGATTGAAGCCACCAAACAGCTCGAGGGTTACTAGGGGAACATAGGGGCAAAGGATGAGAGTCACCTTCCAAATCTCTCTCTGTCTACCTCACACCCAAAGGATCGCCTCCCTTTCCAGACCTCACTGGCTCCCCCAGGCCATTCCTCTTTCGATCTGATTTGCTTTCTCTTTAACCATTCATGGGTTTGTCCAGCATTTATTGCTTCCCCACCCCGTCCCTAATTGCCCCTCAAGGCAGTGGAGACCTGCCTTCTTGAGTCGCTGCAGTGTGTATCACGGAGCGACACCCACAATGCCCCCTTAGGGAGGGAATTCCAGGATTTTGACCCAGCGAGACTGAAGGAACGGCCGATATAGATTTCCAAGTCAGGATGGTGAGGGGCTCGGAGGGGAACTTGCAGGAGGTGGTGTTCCCATGTACCTGCTGCCCCTTTTCCTTCTGGATGGAAGTGGTTGTGGGTTTGGAAGGTGCTTGGCCTTCATTTGGCCTTATAATTACCTCCTGTAGCTACATGCTGACCTATTGATTCATTTACCAGGTCACCCGAATCATGCTGGACCACACCTTTCTGTAGTGTCTGTCTGTCTCTCTCTCTCTGTCTCTCTCCCTCCGCCTCCCCCCTCTCTGCATGGTGGCTCAGTGGTTAGCGCTGCTGCCTCATAGCACCAGGGACCTGGGTTCAATTCCACCCTCGGGCAACTGTCTGTGTGGAGTTTGTACATTCTCCCCGTGTCTGCGTGGGTTTCCTCCAGGTGCTCCGGTTTCCTCCCACAGTCCAAAGATGTGCAGGTTAGGGTGGATTGGCCACGCTAAATTGCCCTGTAGTGTTCAGAGACGTGTAGATTAGGTGGGTTATAGGGGGAGGTGGATGGGGATGGGTCTAGGTGGGATGTTCTGAGGGGCAGAGTGGACTTGTTGGGCTGACGGGCCTGTTTCCACACTGTAGGGATTCTATGTTCTTCTCACAAAGTTGGCAACCTCACATTTTTCCACAATACAGTCCAGCTGCCTATGTTTTGACTACTCACCTAACCTTCTGGTCATGTGAGGACAGATTGAGTAGTTTAGGCCAATACTTGTTAAAGGTCAGAAGGATGAGAGGAGATCTAATTGAGCAATACCGCACGTGAAAGGGGATTGACAAAGGAGATGTAGAGAGGATGTTTCCTCATCTGGGGCAATCTAAAACGAGAGGTCGTCGTTTTAGGAGAAGGGAAGGCAGATTTAGAACAGAGAGGACGAGAAGTTACATCATTCAAAAGGTTGTGAAACTGTAGCATTGATTACCCCCAGAATATTACGGGTGCCGAGGGGGCGCCGTGCTGTCGGCGGGTCAGCGCCAAGGGGGCGCCGCGCTGTCGGAGGGTCAGCGCCGAGGGAGCAGTGGGAGAGCTGGGTACATATGCTGCAGCTCATTACACCTCTGTAGTGGTGTGTGACTCTTGCTTTCTGCTGTTTTATGTTTGCCGTGTGCCACTCCATTGGCAACCAAACTCAAGCCCAGTTAATAAAACACAGAAAACAATTCCCAGCGTTTGTTCCTTATCGTGGCACTAGCCTTCCAGCTGTAAAGAGAAACGGATGTAAGGAACAAACGCTGGGGATTGTTTTCTGTGTTTTATTAACTGGGCGTGACTTTAATTGCCAGTGGACGTAAGTCAGACACATTACGCTGGGAAAGCCTGGGTCCAAGGTTTACCAGGTACCAGCTGGGCAATAGCAGGAGAATAGCCCACTCAGGTGAGACGGTGGGAGCAGCTCCTAATCCCCAGCCCATTAATGAGTAACTCAGCTCAGAGGGACCTCCTGGGGAGTCTATTGCTGAAAAGCCGGGTGTGTTAACCAACATTTCTCATCTTACACCCATTGGGACAAACCCAAAAGGTGCCAAATCATTAAGCCAACCCTGGACCGTGCTATTCCCCATAGCAACACTTCAGCCAATCAGCATCGAACGGCCAACCTGGTCCCCGGTCAGGCAAATTGTTGTGATGGCCTGAGACGTGGCATTGGTGCATGCGTGTCCTGATGAGTGCTAACCAAAAAAATTCCATGGGCAACGCAGAGTTTAAATTTCTCACAACCATCAGGGCTGGTCACCTCTGCCCTTTCACCCCAGGCCCAGATGAGGGTCACGCACTTACTAGTTGTGGGCCATAGCAACCAGCAAAAACATAAAGAAACGCATACAGTGGGCATCCCATGGAAAAGCCTGGACAAAGTTGTTGGTGTGTGCGTCTGTGCGTGTGAGTGTCTCTATGTGCATGTATATACACATATGCCCTGAGGATATGCCAAAGTCCAGATAAATAAATGACATTGTTTTTTGTTTAAAAATGTAGCAGGAGTGGGCCATTTAGCCCTTCGAGCCTGCTAGCCCATTCAGTCAGTTCATAGCAGATCTGGTTGTGGCCGTAACCCCTCCCAAAACAATCACCAGTTAGAAACCTCTTGAACTTGGCATTGACTATAATCAGTGATGCTGTCCAACCCTGTCTGGGTGAAGAGAATTCCACAGTCTCTCCACCTTCGGAGAGAAGAAATTCCTCCTCATCTCCATTTTCAATGGGAGATACTTTTATTTCTCAATCTCCTTCAGGAGATTCAAGCCCCTGCCCCACTCCCCAGCAGGATCATTATTGTTTCAATTAGACCACCTCTCATTCTTCTGAATTCCTAAGGGTATTGGCTCAACCTTTTCTACCTGACCTTCAGCCCTGGCCTCTGCCACACTTTGTCACCCGTTGCTCTCTCCCTGTCGATTTCTGGGTTCATGCTACAGTAAACATAGGAGCAGGAGCGAGACCATTTCTCCCGCAAAATTGCTCAAGCGGATCTTTTACTTACAAAACCGCTTTCCCCACATGATCCCTTCCCATCTCTAATATCTAGAATCCTTTCAATCTCCGTCTTGTACATTCCCAGTGACTGCGCCTCTGCTGGACTCGGGACGAAAATTCCAAAGGTACCCCACCCTCCAAGTGGAAAAAGAACTCCCCCTCCTCTCAGTCCAAGATGGCTGACCCCTTATCCTCCCAACTCCAAATCAGAGGGGTGACCCCCCCCCCCCGCCACCCACTTCCTGTTTTCCCTCTTGTTTAGAATTTCATATTATTTACTCTTCTAAACTCCAGAGAATATAGGCCCAGTCTCCTCAAATCTCACCTCACGGAAACCATAGAAACAAGGAGCAGGAGTGGGCCCTTCGGTCAAAGAGCTGTACAGCGTAGAAACAGACCCTTCGGTCCAACTCGTCCATACTGACCAGATATCTTAAATTAATCTAGTCCTATTTGCCAGCATTTGGCCCATATCCCTCTAAACCCTTCCTATTCATGGCCCCATCCAGATGCCTTTTAACTGTTGTAATTGTACTAGCCTCCACCACTTCCTCTGGCAGCTCATTCCATACACACACCACCCACTGCATGAAAAAGTTGCCCCTTAGCTCCCTTTTATGTCTTTCCCCTCTCACCTTAAACCTATGCCCCTCTAGTTTTGGACTCCCTTGCCCTGGGGAAAAAGACCTTGACTATTCACCCTTTCTGTGCCCCTCATGATTTTATAAACCTCTATAAAGTCACCCCCTCAGCCTCTGACCCTCCAGGGAAAATAGCCCCCAGCCTCTCCCTTTAGCTCAAACCCTCCAACATCCTTGTAAATCTTTTCTGAACCCTTTTCTAGTTTCACAACATCCTTCCTGTAGCAGGGAGACCGGGATTGAACGCAGTATTCCTTCCAGCCTGTCTCGATCTCAACGCCCACCTTCTCCCAATGGCCACTGACGCCTTTAAAATCGGAAATCCTCCCTGACCATATCGTGCGACTTGGATTGACTTGGACAGTTTTGGGGCTGGCAATTCAGTTTGACTCACCTGCTGCCTTTTGCTGTTGCCAGGGATGTTGAAGGATGGCTCAGGGTGGCATCAAGACTTCCAGCGGGGACTACGTAGATGCATCATGGGAGCTGAAGATCGTGGTGGAAGAATTGGGCCCTGAGGCGGAGCCCATCACCCTGAGAGTGAACGGGGACGTGCACATTGGCGGCATCATCCTTCAGCTGGTGGAGAAAATCGGTAAGACCACACAATTCTGATGGTCAGCGAGACGGGGGGCGCGGGGGGGGGGGGTAATGGACAAAACTGTGTCGGGCCTGGCGTGTTCCATTCAAGCCTAGCCGCCCTTCCTAGGTCAACCACACTTGCAGACGGTTCATAAAGATCTGCCTGGTTAGGAGACTTCTGTGTATGAGGACTACGTCATATTAAGTTTCTCGCAGTAAATAGTCGTGTGTGGACACACACAGGGAGCAAATAAAAGACCCATTTCGTTGGAATTATTTTTTTTTGCCTTGCAACACAATTTTTGCAAGAAGCTACAGGGAGAGGCTGAATAGACTGGGGCGGTTTTCCCTGGAGCGTCGGAGGCTGAGGGGTGACCTTATAGAGGTTTACAATATCATGAGGGGCATGGATAGGGTGAATAGACAAGATCTTTTCCCCAGGGAAGGGGAAGCCAAAACTAGAGAGGTATAGGTTTAAGGTGAGAGGGGAAAGATTTAAAAGTGGCAGAGGGGCAACTTTTTCCACACAGAGGGTGGTGCGCGTATGGAATGAGCTGCCAGAGGAAGTGGTGGAGGCTGGTACAATGACAACATTTAAAAGGCATCTGGATGGGGACATGGATAGGAAGCGTTTAGAGGGATATGGGCCAAATGCAGGCAAATGGGACTGGATTAATTTAGGATATCTGGTCAGCATGGATGAGTTGGACCGAAGGGTCTGTTTCCATGCTGTACACCTCTGTGGAATGAGCATCCTGAGGAAGTGGATGTCAGTACAATTACCACATTTAAAAGACACTTGGATAAGTACATGAATAGGGTCACCAGACCCAAAACGTTAACTCTGTTTTCTCCTCCACAGATGCTGCCGGACCTGCTGAGCTTTTCCAGCAACTTTGTTTTTGTCCATGAATAGGAAAGGTTTGGAGGGATACAGGCCAGGAGCAGGCAGGTGGGACTAGTTTAGTTTGGGATTATGGTCGGCATGGACTGGTTGGGCCGAAGGGTCTGTTTCCGTGCTGTATGACTCTCTGACTCGGTAAGTGTAAAGTGGGGTACAACAGCTAAACTGTGCAGGAGGAGAGTGCTGAAGGATAGAGAGTGGAATTTAATGGTGCCACGGAGAATGGACCAGGTGGATGACAACCGACAGTAAAGTTACAAGCGTTGTTTAAATTTAAACCAGCACTTCACTGACCAATTCTAAGACAGTCAGTCTTGCAGTGTGGTGCGCTTGCAAATTCTGGAAGCTATTTATATAGATGCGTGGGTCCTTGATCTTTGCAAATACAACTCTTAGATGCATCGCGTCTGTTTGGACTTGTCAAAACACGCCATTCTCTAGTGTGTTCCTTCAGAAAGCACCTGGGCCAATCAGACTCTACCTGTATGGTTTAAATGAAGGGGTATTTTCTCCAGAGTTGAGTCTGGGTTAGTTGCGAGAGGAGGTACTGAATGGCCTCTGGGGTAAACCTCCCTCAGGAATATAACTGGTCATTGTCGTACATTAAACATAATTATTTTAAACACATTTTAATCTTCGTAACCCACTTGCTTAATTGTCACACGTCACTAACCGTTGATAAACAAACTCAATCCTTCAATGGCTTTTCACAAAACATGGAAGTCGTAGGCACATAGAGCTGTACAGCATAAAAACAGACCCTTGGGTCCGACCGGCCCATGCTGACCAGATATCCTAAATTAATCTAGTCCCATTTGTCAGCATTTGGCCCATGTCCCTCTAAACCCTTCCTATTCATCTACCCAACCAGATGCCCTTTAAATGTTGTAATTGTACCAGCCTCCACCACTTCCTCTGGCAGCTCGTTCCATACATGCACCTCCCTCTGTGTGAAAAAGTTGCCCCTTAGGTCCCTTTTAAATCTTTCCCCTCTCACCTTAAACCTATGCCCCTCTAGTTTTGGACTCCCCCACCCTGGGGAAAAAGAGCTTGTCTATTCACCCTATCCGTGCCCCTCATGATTTTATAAACCTTTATAAGGTCACCCCTCAGCCTCCGACGCTCCAGGGAAAATAGCCCCAGACTATTCAGCCTCTCCCTGTAGCTCAAACCCTCCAACATCCTTGTAAGTCTTTCCTGAACCCTTTCAAGTTTCACATCATCCTTCCTATAGCAGGGGGACCAGAACTGAACACAGTTTTCCAAAAGTTGCCCTAACCAATGTCCTGTACAGTCAGTTAGTTCAGTTGGCTGTATGAGTGGTTTGTGATGCAGAGTGATGTTAAGAGTGTGGGTTAAATTCCTGCAACTGACTGAGGTCACCCTGAAGGACTCTCCTTCTCAACCTCACCCTCGCCTGAGGTACAGTAACCTTCTGGTTAAACCAACACCAGTCACCTCCCTTCAGTGAGGTGGCATGTTGGCTCAGTGGTCAGCACTCCTGTCTCGCAGCGCCAGGGCTTCAATCCCACCCTCGGGCGACTGTCTGTATGGAGTTTGCTCATTCTCCCCGTGTCTGCATGGGTTTCCTCCGGGTGCTCCGGTTTCTTCCCACAGTCCAAAGGTGTGCACCTTAGGTTGGATTGGCCATGGGGAAATTGCCCCACAGTGTCCAGGGATGTGCAGGTTAGGGTGGGATAGCCATGGGAAATGCAGGGATGGGGGGCGTTGGGGTGGTAGGTCTGGCTGGGATGATGCTCCCCTTCGGAGGGACTTGATGGGCCAAATGGCCTGCTTCCACAATGTAGGGATCCTACGACGAGTGAGAGAGCCCTCTGGGACAAGAGCGACTTTATCTTTCACCTTACAAAGAATGGAGAGCCTCGAAACTGCCCACTCTTTAAAAATTTGATGCGGCTGGGCCCAGTGTCTATTGCAGTTAGGAGGCAACCCCGCCCTCGTGGTGGGCCCGGAGTCACATGTTGGCCACTCTGATGTGGGCAGCCACGCCGAGGGCCTATTTATGTACTAGGCCGCAGCCTGCCTAGTCCGAGCTGTGGCGGGGATGGGGGAGCGGGGTCTGCACAGGGTTGCTGCAGTCTCTTGTGTTTTTAATTTCCTGCCTGAGAGGAAGGATGTGGTTCTGAGCTGTCAGATTAGTAGAACGCGAAGCAGGAGAGGAACAGAAGCCTTGACTGGAGAGTCACGTGGCGGTGGTGGTGGGGGGAGGGGGGAGGTGGCGCTGACTGAGGCCTGTAGAGCAAGACAGGGCTGATGATGGCAAGAAGCTGGCGGAAACTGAAGTGAAACGGGGCAGAGGAAGCGCACAAGATGCAGATCTCCAGGCCCGGAGATGACATCGTTTGCATTAGAGGCAGTACGGCCATTTTAACATAGAACGTACAACAGCACAGTACAGGCCCTTTGGCCTACGATGTTGTGCCAACCTATTATCCCACTACGATCAAACGAAGCTGCATACCCTACATTTTACTATCCTCTATGTGCCTATCCAAGAGTCGCTTAAAAGTCTCTGAAGTATCTGACTCAGCTTTGATAGGGAGAGAGTGGGGTATGGGGAAACTGCTAACGCGAGTCACATCTCTAGCATTTCCCCCCGGAACTGTACGTCGAAAGTCGGATCTTTGTTTGTGTTTAACGGGGAGATCCACCTTTCGGGGAACCCCCCCGCGCCCCCACCGCCTTGTTTTTGGAAGGAGCGGGAGACCCATGTGAGGAACACCCCATGGATGTGAGGAGATTTGGGACCATCCTCCTTGGAGAGGAGAAGGCCAGCCACAAGATTGGATGGAGGTGTCCAAAAATATCAGGCGAGGGCCTGGGACACAGTCGACGGCTATTCCCAGTAGTCAAAGGAGCATGGACCTGGGGACCGGGGTTGGGAGGGGGGTAACACGGATTTTAAGATGGATTGGTGAAGGGAGCAGGTGGTCAGGCCGCAAAGGGGTCAGGAATATACTCCCTGTGGGATGCTGGCTCGATGGAGGCCATGAGACACAGGAGCAGAATTAGGCCATTCGGCCCATCGAGTCTGCTCCACCATTCGATCATGGCTGATATATTTCTCAACCCCCATTCTCCTGCCTTCTCCCTGTGACCCTTGACCCCCTTGCTAATCAAGAACCTATCTATGACTGTCTTAAATACACTCACTGACCCAGCCTCCACAGCCCTCCGTGGCAATAGAATCTACAGGTTAACTACGGGGCTGAAGAAATTCCTCCTCATCTCAGTTCAAAATGGTCGCCCCCTTCATCCTGAGCCTGTGTCCTGGAGCCCTTTCTCTCCATCTTCTCCACATCCACTCTGTCCAGGCCTCTCAGTGTTCTGTAAGTTTCAATCTAATCCCCCGCACCCCCCCACCACCGATCCTTCTAAACTCCATTGAGACCCAGAGTCGTCAGCTGCTCCTCATATGACATTATGTGTAGAGGAGGAAGGTGCAAGGTCAAAGGTCAGAGAGAAGTTTGGAGGAGTGGAACTGGGCACGTTTGCTCGTTCAGGGAGCTGGTATGTTCACGAGAGGCTGAACGGCCTTCCTCTGAGCTGTGACAGTTGATGTAACTCCTAGGGATGAGCTGATTGAGGAAGTGGTGAGGACTGAAGCCTCGGGTTCCCATGGGAGGGAACCAGAATGAGTCACCGTCGCCGCCCAGTCACCACGAGCTGAGTTTCAACGTTGTGCAGTGGTGGTGGCCAGTGTCGATACTCGGCCCCCACCCCCCTCCCAATCTGGAGGGGGCAACCACTGTCCTGTGCTCGTATGGCCCCCATCACAACCCAAGCTGCCTTGTCCCTCTCCATCCCTCTCCTGCCCCTCCCAATTCCTAATTGCCGTAAGGAACGGGAGCAGGAGCAACCCACTCATCTTGCCCCAAAATCATGGCAAGTCCACCCAAGGCCTCAAATCCTCATTGATATCAACTGCTCCTAGACTCTCAACTCCCCTAACATTTCTAAACAAAAAAAAATCTATCCTCACCTTCTCTCTAAGCACTTTCAGCAATCCAGCCACTGTAGCTCATTGGTGTAGAGAATTCCAGGCATCTACTATCACCCTGGGAGAAGAAATTCCCTCAAATCCTATTCTGTAATGATGGCCCCCACCATTAGAACCTGGGAGTAGGCCTTTCAGCCTGACCACGGGTGACCTTTGACCTCAGCCCCTTTTCCCCACACTATCCCCACATCCCTTGCTGTAATGAATATCCGGAAGCCTATCGATCTCTGCTTTGGTCGTCCTCAAATCGCACTGCCGTCCAGGGCAGGGAACTCCAAAGATTCGCACGGCAGTCGAAAAGGGATTTCTCCTCATCTCAGTCCAAAATGGCCACCGCCTTATCCCAAGACTCCATTTCCAGAGAGGTGGCGAGGCGAGTGCTGAGGGTGACTCGGGGCATTTGCATGGTGGACATGGACAGGTTAGCTGAGTGGGCAACAAAGCGGTGGGATGGAATATAACGTGGGGAAAATGTGACATTGGCAGGAAGAAGAGAAAAATAGTATGTTATTGAAGAGGGGGAAAAGACCGCAGAAAGCTAAGGAACGGAGAGATTTGGGAATCCCTGGGCACAAAGCACTAGTATCCAAGTCCAGCTGGTCATAGGGAAGGCCAATGGAATGTGGGCCTTTATTTCGAAGGATAAAAATAGGGAGGTTTTGCTGAAATGATAGAAGGCACTAGTCAGGCCACAGCTGGAATACTGTGAACGGTTTTAGGGCCCCGTATCTAAGCAGAGACAGACTGGCATTGGGGGCAGTCCAGGGAACGTTCACTCGGCTGATCCCACAGATGGAGGGACAGCCTTATGAGGACAGGTTAAGCAGAGACATTTAAATTAAACTCATCAGGGTTGTCGGTGTACAAGTTTTGACAGGCTATATAAGAGGAGACCTGAACTCACTGGGACAAAAGAGCCACTTCTGTA